CACTGCTTCGAGGTGGGATTGAGGAGATTCATAATGAACGTTTTGACGCGGTACGTTTTTGTTCAGGGTTGGACGATGTGTTGTGGGGGAATAAACCGACTGGGTATGTGTTGCATAAGTTTAGGGAATGTAGGAGAGTGACCACGTTACTGCAGTTAGTGACTAGTGCGGGGGTGGGAGATTACCCAGAAGGTGTGGTCCTCATCTCCACTGAGAGTATGAGCATTTATGCAGATGAATGGTTCAGGAGAAAATGGAGTGAGTGTGGGAGCCAGGGCACCTGGCAGGCGTCTTATGGTAGGGAGGCTCATAATGCTATAGGAGAAAAGGATAGGGTGGGGTTGGAGGCTGATATTAGTGAGGCTGAGGTGGTGGACGCGGTCTTCGGCATGAGCACGGTTAAGACGCCAGGGATTGACAGTTTGCCTATTGATTTTTATAGGGCTCATTGGGGGTGCATGAGACATTGTTTTGTTGGGGTTTTGAATAATATGCTAGATGGGCAGAGAATGGGTGAGTCACAATGTACAGGCATAGTAGTATTAGTACCAAAGAAGGAAGGGGCACGGGCACTGAGTGCCTTCCGGGCAATTTCCTTAATGTGTGCAGACTATAAAGTGTTCACAAAGATTCTAGGGAATAGAATGAAGGCAGTTCTCGGATCGCTTTTACACTGCGGTCAGTTTGGGATTCCAGGGAGGAGTATGCGGGATGGACATGGGCGCATAAGGGATTTCTTAGAGGGCTATGGAGGGGGGAGGGTTCTAGGGATGGATTAGGGGGAATGTGTATGATTGTGTGGACAGGGTGTTTTTGCATGAGAGTTTGTGTGATTTGGGTTTTGATGCCAAGGTGGTAGGGTGGGTGGATGCATTGTATGCGGGGATGAAGATGCGTGTGCAGGTGAATGGTAGGTTGGGTTCTGGGATTCGTATGGAGAGGGGTTTGCGGCAGGGTTGCCCGCTTTCACAGCTATTATTTGTTTGTGTACAGAACCCATTTTATGAGCTTGTAGACCGAGAGTTGTGTGGGGAGGGGGCTGAGGGGAATGACGGGGGGGTTGTGGGTTACGTTGATGATACGACAATCTTACTTAGTGGAAAGGAGGATTTTTCAAGGGTGGGTAGAGTCATCGAGAATTTTGGGGCAGTAACGGGAATGAGGGTAAACAAAAGCAAGTCGATGTTGTTAGAGGTGGGCACCTGGGTAGGCAGGAGATTGGGTTAGGGGTTTGGATGGAATGTCGTGGAACAGATTAAGATTTGTGGGATTTGGTACACAGCGGATAGGCAGGACAGTAGAAAGATTAATTCGGAGGCGGTTAGGGACAGGGCGGTGGGTAGGCTCCGTGGCCTTCGGGCCAGAGAGGTTACGTTGCACCAAAGGGCTGTGATTGTGAATTCGTTGGTATACAGTAAGGTTTGGGGAGAGGCGGCAGTATATCCCTTGAGGAATTGTGATGTAACAGACATCCAGAGGAGGGCATTAAGGTATATATGGGATTATGGGAGGGCGTGGTTGGGACGTGACGTAGTAATGACTGGGGTTCGTCAGGGGGGATTGGGTTTGGAAACATAAACACATATGCAGTTTAATATGATCCTTTGTTGACAACGTTTCGCCCAACACAGTGGGCTTTTTCAAGTCACACACAGATCTGTGTGTGACTTGAGGAAGCCCACTGTGTGGGCGAAACGTTGTCAATATAGGATCACATTAAACTGCATATGTGTTTATGTTTCCATTGTGTCTTTATACTATTTATTTTCTCGGGGATTGGGTTTGTTGGCATTGGGGCCCAGGGTGAGATACCTCAGTGGGGATGGGTCAGGGGGCGGCGTGTGGGGGAGGTGATGAGGGACTTTCGTTGTTGGTGGAGTGGGAGGGACCTGGAGGTGTGTGAGGATATGTTGAGGTATATGTTAAGGGTTCGAGATGTGCTTCGTTTGCGAATAGGGAGGCTGGTGGGAGTTGAGTATCGTCGGGAGACGCTGCAAGGGGTGGCTGTCTTCCCCACATATGATTGGAGGGTAATATGGGAGGAATTTCGAAAGCTAAGAATGCCTGCTAGGGTGAGAGAAGTGGTCTACAGATTCCTCATGGGAACATTGACGTCAAAAGAGGTGTTGAGGCAGATGGGATATGTGAGTGATGCTTCATGTGCGCATTGTGGTGACGTGGAAAATGCCTTCCATGTAGTGTATTTTTGTCCTTTTTTGGAAAATGTAAGGGTGTGGTTGAGGGGTGTTTTTGGGTTATTGGGGGGGAAGGGTGGGGGTTCTTAGGGCTTTACTTTTAGACGTGGGAGGAGTGTCTAGTGAGGTAGCGAGGGCGTTAAGGTATATAATGGTTGATTTTTTGTATGTTTCTTGGGGAATGAGGGAGGTGGGGGTAATGTCAGAATCAAGGCTTTAGCGGCGAGTTTTTATAGGTCGGTGGGTAGGAATAGGAGCCTATATGGGGGTCAGTGGGTTACTCCTTTTCCGGAGAGTTATCGGGGACTGACTGTGGCACGACTGCTTCAGTTAAGAACATAAGAACATAAGAAAGGAGGAACACTGCAGGTTGGTGCAGGGGAAGGACAGAAAGGGGTTGGCTTCCAGAGGTGAGTGATGAGCACTTGGAGATGAATGTAGTAAGGAAGGGCGGTGATGGTGGCTGCTCCAGTGGTGTGAGATAACATGATGTAAGGCCTATCTGTGTGAGGGCTGTGTGTGTGTGTGTGTGTACTCACCTCACCTATTTGTACTCACCTATTTGTGGTTGCAGGGGTCGAGTCTTAGCTCCTGGCCCCGCCTCTTCACCGGTTGCTACTGGGCCCTCTCTCTCCCCTCTCCATGAGCTTTATCAAACCTCGTCTTAAAACTGTGTATGGTTCCTGCCTCCACTACGTCATTTTCTAGGCTATTCCACTGCCTTACAACTCTATGACTGAAGAAATACTTCCTACTATCTCTCTGACTCATTTGTGTCTTCAACTTCCAAATGTGGCCTCTTGTTTCAGTGTCCGCTCCCAGGAACATCCTGTCTTTGTCCACCTTGTATATTCCACGCAGTATTTTATATGTCGTTATCATGTCTTCCCTGACCCTCCTGTCCTCCAGTGTCGTCAGGCCGATTTCCCTTAATCTTTCTTCATAGGACATTCCCCTTAGCTCTGGAACTAACCTTGTCGCAAACCTTTGTACTTTCTCTAGTTTCTTGACGTGCTTTATCAAGTGCGGGTTCCAAACAGGTGCTGCATACTCCAGTATGGGCCTGACATACACGGTGTACAGTGTCTTGAATGATTCCTTACTAAGGTATCGGAATGCTGTTCTCAGGTTTGCCGGCGCCCATATGCTGCAGCAGTTATCTGATTGATGTGTGCTTCCGGGGACATGCTCGGATGTTATACTCACCCCAAGATCTTTCTCCTTGAGTGAGGTTTGCAGTCTTTGGCCACCTAGCCTATACTCTGTCTGTGGTCTTCTGTGCCCTTCCCCTATCTTCATGACTTTGCATTTGGCAGGATTAAATTCGAGAAGCCATTTGCTGGACCAGGTGTCCAGTCTGTCCAGGTCTCTTTGAAGTCCTGCCTGGTCCTCATCAGATTTAATTCTCCTCATTAACTTCACATCATCTGCAAACAGGGACACTTCTGAGTCTAACCCTTCCGTCATGTCGTTCACATATACCAAAAATAGCACTGGTCCTAGGACCGACCCCTGTGGGACCCCGCTCGTCACAGGTGCCCACTGTGATACATCATTACGTACCATGACTCGTTGTTGCCTCCCTGTCAGGTATTGTGTGTGTGTGTGTGTGTGGTGCGTGTGTGTTTTGTTGCGTGTGGTGTGTGTGTGTGTGTTGTGTGTCTGTGTGCGTGTCTGTGTGTGAGTCTGTGTGTGTGGGTGGGGTGTTCTGTTATTGAAATGGGGCTTCTGTGAGAGAGGTGGAGGTTCTTTGGTAAGATTTTCTTGCTTCTGAGGGTTCTGCCAAGGCGTCCTTTCGATACTTTTCACAGAGGGACCAAACTGAACATATTTAGGAAATAATGAGTTAAGAATTTTTTGTGTGTAAAAGATGCGGGGTTTTTGTTTTCGTTGCCCCAGAGACTAATGTTTTGATTCTTATTCTATTTAACTAGTGTAGTACTGGCGAGGTGCTGCGTGTACCAGACTCATGTATTTCCTGCATTATGTCAACTTTGTCAATGTTAGATGTTCTGTGTAATAGGGGAGGCATTGTACATTGTACATTGCCCTTTTAAGTATTCCTTCCTGTTTGGAAGTTAATGAGGTACGAACGTATATATACATACGGATTAAGGGTATATTTTTCACCAGTTCATACTGTGCACCTTGTGGGTGATGGGAGGAGGCATACATCTTAAAAAAATTTTTTCTTATAATTTATCATTTATTCTAGTGTATGCAATGTTCCAAATGATGTGTTTTTGGGTTATATGGGGTGTGGGGAGTACGATTTAGTCTCCTCGAAAATATTGTCTGGGGGTTTTAGTTTCGAATATCTATGTGCGTAACATGTTACTATACAAAACAATTGTAAGAGAAATGATTTAGTGTATAAATAATGTTTTGTATATAAAGTTTTCATACAAAATATGAATAAGAGTACCAGGTTTAGTTTTGTAGCTGTTTTTTGTTAAGGAATGCTCAGGTGTAGGTTCTTCTGTTTCGTTTCTAGTTAGGCTTGTTTTTTCTCAGTGTTGAGCACTTTTTCTTGTTAAATTTTATGTATAACAACATGTATAATGTATACTGTGTTCTTAAATAAAAATAAAAAAAAAAAGTTGTCAATAAAACTAAGTGCCCTGCTTGTTGTCATATATTATTCTTATGTCGGAAAGTGAACTTAGCTAACAAGTTTTCCCCCACATGTCTCACAGGCATAAATTACTTATAACTCTGTTATGTTATGCTTAAATTTAATGAACACAGAGTTATATAAGGGCTAATTCAAATTTAATAGCTATATCTGTGGAATATTTATGTCAGGTGTCGCCTTCTGAGCTGGAGAAGTTACTGTCGACACACGAGGACGTGAGTGAAGCAGCGGTGGTGGGGGTGCCAGACCAGCAACTGGGAATGGCACCCAGAGCCTTCGTGGTAGCCAAACCCGGAGCCTCCATTGACCCGAGCCGACTTCAGCAGTTTGTTGCTAGTATGTTAACTTAAAATATTAAGAAAACTAATACCAATTTTTTTCTTAATAATCCAGTGACAGACCACAATGAAGTAATGTTTTCGGCTCATTTAAAACAAAATAATGGCACAAGTTAGATGTCGTCAGGTTAGAGTATATCAGTTCTATATAACAACCGTGAATTATACATAATAAAAGCAGTAAGGTACCAGCTTCTCGAATTACGCAGAGAAACACTGCTTGCTGGAAGATACTGATCAGTGACTGATACCTTTCGAGAGAAAATTGTCAGTGAGAGACTGATATGGCATTTTTTCCCGCACTACAAGGGTAAAGATTCAAGATGAAAAGTATGTTAAGAGAAATTTTAATGTATATCTTTCCTTCAGTAAGTCACAAACATGTTGACAACTGACAGCGAATAAATTTTCTGTGAATCTAAAGGTAAAAGGATTATTTTTATATTCAGAAGGGAGCGCAAATCCCGTAGGAGTCATACAGCTTCTGGGAATTGGAGGCAATCATGCTGAATTCTAGGAATGGAGGACAAGTTCATTTCTCTGGATCAAGAGCCCTTCACCAGCAATGAGGCGCCTCCTATGGCGTGAGAGAGATTCGGAATATCAGAGTTTTTTCAGAACTGACTTTGTATTGCTACTAGGTGAGATATATAAGTCAATTCAGACGTAAAAAAATTTAATTTGAAATCGAAGATTCTGTGACTAATACAGAGAACCGGCAATAGTTAAAATGTAAAAGTCTGTAATGCTATTTACAACAGCTGAGACGGTGCTCTTAAAAAGGTGAAAATTATTTTACAAACAATATAGGAACATAGCCAGAAAAGGGTTCGTTGGAGAAGTAATAATTTGTGACATACCGGAACCATTATTAAGAAAAGTTGACCCGATTAGAGATCACCTTAAAACTAAAGATTGTAGGATACATTTTTTTAATAAACGTTGCAATAAGGAGTGACTCGAAATATTTTTATACATCAGAAAATGACGACAGGAGCGGAGTGGATGCCTTTCGTCGGAAAAGGATAATATGTTTCCAAGACAGGAAATAGGCGAATAAATATAGAACACTTCTATTGGGAAAATTTTATATACTAAACTATGATTCTTATGCCGTGGCTCAGGAAGTAACTCATTGTACCACAGTGACTCATAGCTAAAACATATTTCAGAAACTTATTTAACAATTCTCTTGATTTTACAGGTCAAGTGTCGTCTTACAAACAGCTGGCAGGAGGCATCTGCATTGTTGACGCCATACCAAAGTCCCCTTCAGGCAAGATCCTGAAGAGGTTGCTCATGAAGGGTTTGAAACCCCCTGCTGCTAAACTGTGAGGTGCAGAAGTGTTCCAGCTACCATGAACTACCAATTCACGTCAGCTGTGCTAAAGACAGTCCGCTTCAAGGAGATCATCCCATCTCAGTCACTGACAGAAGACCTGCAGAGGCGGGAGTATCTATTGTAATAAATATTTAGTTCATCACTGTTATATATTGGTATATGTATATTTTACATCTAATTTTTACAGTAGGATATCGTTCAGTGAACAGTTGCTAAGATATAAGAGATAAATAAAAGAATTAAAAGTCTGAGCATTAACCATTCATGTGTAATTGTTTGGTACATCATCTCTTTTTTACTCCTTTTTCGTTTTTTATCGAGCTGTGAAAATATGATATGGATGGCCTTACCTCATATATTTCCTATTTCTGGAAAAGGACCATACAAGGTGACTCATCTGGAGCAATGAACTTGTCTAGTTGGATCTATTATTGCATCAGAGCCTTTAATACAGCAAAAATTTTGAGTTTCTTTCTGTCATGTATAGGATCAACATTTACACTGTTCATCACCCCACTCCATCTAAAATTCTTTCCTGACGAGATAAAGTGCATTCAAGAATTCAAATAAACTGACCAAACGAAAGCTCTGGCTCAGAAATTGCTATAAATTCATATTGTACTCTTTATGTCACTTAATGTTAGATAAAGGATCCTTATTAATTAAATCTTGAAAAAATAAAATTTTCCCATGAGTAACAACTCTCACCTCTAATGTGCAGAACCATAATGAATATAAATAACACCACCACCTTCCATCATATTTTAAAATATAATTTCCTCTATTATAATCATCCGAGGGATCGTCTGGCTTTAAAAATCTCAACATTAATACTTATTACTATTATGATTGGATAACTGAGGTTACCAACTATTGACCAGGTGAGGATCATTAATGCTGCATTTAACCTGTTCACCACAAGTCAAGAATTATTATTTAAAAAAAAAAAAAATTAAAACAAACTCTCATTGTATATACATCCTGGTTCCTAAGAATCCCAGTAGAGGTAAGACTGAATTTCTTACATTATTCTTGGTAACTAACTCTACCGGTTTACTAATCAAGAAAACTCATTTGTTTTGAGTATAAACCTTTTAGTGGAGTATTTACATGAGCTGATCAAATAAAAGCTCTGACTCGCAGATTATTTTAATTTCATCTTTTAACCTTTATACTATAAATGTAAGTTAATTAATATTTTAGAAATATGTATAATAAACTTCTTATCTCTCTACGTGCTTTAACTTATCCACTGTTCTGCTCTTCATTTGTTCATCTCAGCATCGCATCATCCTCTCTCTGTGCTGTAGCAGTACTAATATATATATATATATATATATATATATATATATATATATATATATATAATATATATATTATATATATATATATATATATATATATATATATATATATATATATATATATATATGTCGTGCCGAATAGGCAGAAACTTGCGATCTTAGCTTAAATAGCAACGCTCATATTGCCATATAGGACAAGCGAAAATTTGTGTATGCAATAATTTCGCCAAAATCATTCTGAACCTAACGAAAAAAAAAATATTTCACTGTGTTTGGTTTAGTATTAAATTATTGTAAACAAATCTAAAATATATTTAGTTGGGTTAGGCTAAAATAAATTGTTCTTTTTATAATAAGGTTAGGTAAGTTTTCTAAGATTCGTTTGGTGCAAAATTAAAATTTTTTACTTTAACATTAATGAAAAAAATATATCTTTAAACGTATATGAGAAAAAATTGGAAAGGATTTAATTTTAAAGGATTTCTTGCAATTTGGGCCCATTTTTACTTTATTGGGGCCCCGCATTTATTTTTTTTCGTATGTATTTTAAAAATTATATTATATTTTATATCTTTATAAATATATTTAAAAAAAAATTTTTTTATATTTTTAAAATTAATATATATATATATATATTTTCAAAAAGTGGGCCGTCCCCCAAACCGATAAAAATTTTTAAAAAAATTTCCTTTTGGAAAAAAAAAATTAAAAGAGGGGGTGGTATTTGGAAGGGGAAATATTAAACGGTTCATGAAAACCCAAAATTTATTTTTCCCTTTGAACCCTATTATATATAATATATTTTGTAAAAAATTATATAAATAATATATAAAATATATAAATATATATATATATATAAATAATAAAAAATAAAATATATATATTATAATATATATATATTATCACAGGGCCCGTTTCCCCACCAAGGCAGGGGGGCCCGAAAAAGAAAAACTTTCCCCAAATCATTCATCCCCACTGCCCTTCCCAAAAAGGGTCTTTACACTTCATTTTTTTAAAACTGAACTTTTAAACCCCCAAAATTTTTCCCAGAGTGCGGGCACTGTATTTCCCATCTAAAGGAAACTCAAGTTCCCCCGGGGTTTTCCCCTGAACCCCTTCAAAAAATGTTACTTTGCCACACCCAACACCACGTAAAGGTTTTAAAAAAAACCATTTGTACCCCATTCACCCAAAACAAACACGCCCGCAGGCCTGCTGGAGCCCAAAGCCCCCCGCAAAAACCCAAAAAAACCTTTTCCCCCCCTCTCCCCAAACCCTTTTCCTAGGCCCCCCCCTACCCCCCCCTTCCTTCCACAAACAGACTAAATACACTCTTGAAGTCATTATTTTCGTTTCCAAATTCCCCCTAATGTCCGAACCCCCTAAAAAAACCCCCCTTTCAGCCCCCCGGGGCAATTTTTTTGGGTAATCCCGCACCTCCTCCAAATTCGAAAAACCCCAAATTTTCTCTGAAATTATATTACACCACACATTGCCCTCGACATGACATTCCACTGCCTCCAGCCTTCTCCTCGCTGAACTTTCATCACCCCATGTTTCACCCCCAATATAAGCTTGGGTTTAAAACTAAAAACTCTCATACATTCCCCTTTTTGCCTCCAAGGACAAAGTTCTTGTCCCACAGACCCTAAGTGCACCACTACTCTTTTCCCCTCACCCCAAATTCAAATATTCCCCTCATCTTTCATAACCCACCCGCTGACACGTCCACCCCCAAAAATTATCGTATACTTTTCACCCCTCCATACTTTTTCCTCCCTCCTTCTGATTTTCAATCTTTCATCCCCTAATTTTTTTGTTATCCCAAAACCCTTAAATTTTTCTTTCCCCTTTTTAAACCCTTTTAATTTTCCTTTTTTCCCCCCCCCCCCCCCCCCCCCCCCCAAATCTCTGCAACTTCTCTTCAGAATCCCCCAAGAGAAAAAGTGTCATCAGAAAAGGGGCAGCTGGGGACAACTCCCACTTTGTGGCGATTTTTTATTTTTTTAACTCCACCCCTTTTTCCAAAGACCCCGCATTTACTTCTTTTTAAAAACCCCCATCTATAAATATTTTAAAACAACCCCCGGTTTGACATCACACACCCTTTGTCAAAGGGCCCTCCCTTTTTCTGGGAAATAATTTCCCTTTTTCCTACATACTCTAACTTGACCCAAACTATCCCGTAAAAACTCTTCACTGTTTTCCCAGTAACCTACCTCCTAAAACCAATACATTTGGGCACATCTCCCAACTTTGCCCCCCCTATCCACCCTGTCATACTTTTTTCCCAAAAACCCCATAATGCCACAAAGCTTCTTTAGCCTTATCTAAATACTTTTCACTTTTTAATGTTTCACTGTAAAACCCCTGGTCCAAAACCCCCCCCCAAAATTTTTCCTAAAGCCCCCCTTGTTCTTTCTGCACCCTATTCCCCGGGTTTTATTTTAAATTCTTTCAATAAAAAACCTCTAACCTTACATTTTTTCCAGGTTATCTCAGCAGATTTAAAACCCCCCTATAATTTTTTTTGCCTCTCTTTTACCCCTTTTTGGGCCTTTTTATAAAAAAGGAACTAGAAATGCTCCTGGCCAATCCCTGGGAAACCAAAAAAAAACCCTCCTCCATAAATTTTTTTAAATTTAATTGCCCCAAAAAAACCCCCCAAAAAAACTATATCCCCATTGTTTTTTAAATTTTCTATCTTTATCCCATAAAATTTTCGGCTCCCTCACCCCCTTTAAATTTCTACCCCTCACAAACTTCCCCCACAAAAAACAACGGGCCCCTTCCTCCAACCTTTAAAAGATTTTAAATTCCCCCTTTCGCGCCCTTTATACACAAAATCCAAAATTTTTCCCTATCTTCTCAACATTTAAAAATTTTTTAAAAAATATTCCCTCCATTTTCCCCAAAAACCTCAAAACTCTCCTTTTTTAATAATTCCTCCCTTTTTTTAAAATGACAAATCCTTTGCTCTCTGGGCTTTCTTAATTTGTTAATTCACTCCAAAACTTTTTTTATTTTCAACAAAATTTGTTGATAACATCTCACCCACTCCCCATTTGCTTTTTTTTACATTGCTTCACCACTCTTTTAACCTCTCTTTTTTCCCTCCATATACTTTTCCAATTATATATATTATATAAATATAAAAATATTTTAAAAAAAAATATATTATATATATATATATATAAAAATTTTATACAAAAAATATTTTATTTTAATATGAAAATTATAAATATATATATATATAAAATATATATATTTATATATAACATAAAATTTTAAAAAAAATATATAATATATTATATATATATATATATATAAATATTATTTAAATTTTTAAAAAATATAAAAAAAGGGTTTTAATTTCCCGGGTTTATTGGAGTAAAAAATAAGTTTGGGGATGTGAAAATTTGGGTTTTAATGGCGTGAAAGCACCGGGAGAAGAGAGAATTGTAAAAGAGAAGTTTTTGGGGAAAAATGTTGAGTAAAATTGGGGGGATTTTAAATTCAAGGGGGAGGTAATGGTGGTTGGGGTTTTCCCAATGCAAAAAGTGGGTAAAAATGTTATGGAAAAAAAGGAGTAGGTTTAAATTTGGGGGTGCCAGGGGTAAATTAAATGGGGGGGCCTTTTAATTAAAGCTATGTGTAAAAGTTTTTTGGGTAAAAGTAATACATATTTTATAAAAAAAGGGATAAATAATATACAAGGTATGATTTTGGGCACGTAATGGAAAGTATTTTATTAAAATTATGTTTTGGGTGGAAAAAAAGGTTAAAGGGTTTAGGTTTCCCCAGGATTACATGTTTTAGGGGGGCAACTAAATATACGGATCATTTTTTTAAGTTTTTAGTACAGTTAATTAAGAGGTAGAGGGAAAAGGGGAAAATTTGGCCCAACAAAAAAGTAAGAGGGAGGTGAAATTTGAAAAAACTAAGGGAGGGGGAATTTTCGGGTGAGATAAAAAGCGACTTTGGGCGGGGAAAGGGGGCAAGTGCAAAGATGGAAATGGGGGGGGGGGGGGTTGAAGGGGGTTTGGGAAATTATTTTTAAAAAATGAAAGTATTAGTTGGGGGGGCAAAATTTTTTGTGTTATAGGGGGTGGGGGCGGGAGAAAGAGGAGTGTTTGGGGGAAAATGTTTGAAGAAAAGGGTGTGTTTAAAAAAGAGAAAAAGGTAGCTTATGAAGGTTTTTACAAGCAGAAGTGTTATAAAAAGAGCAGAGATTTGGAGAGAAAAAAAAAAAGGGTAAAAGGGGGGGAAAGGGGATTTGCAAAAGGAGAGAGATGATAGAGGGAGAGGCATGCAAAAAATTTTTAATGAAAAAAAAAAAAAATTTTTGGGGGAAGGGGTTTTTAAAACAAGTTAAGAAAGCCTGGGGAAAAAAAATGGATTTGTCATTTTAAAAACAGGGGTGGGGGAGTTATAGATGGGGAGAGGGGAGGTATTGGGTAATGGCGAGAATTTTTTGAGGAATTTTTTAAAAGTTAAGGAAGAAACAGAGGCAGAAATTTTCATGCACTGGTCAGGGGGGTTAAACCTTCTTTTGGGAGTGAAGAAGAGCAAAATGTAAGTTTGGGGGAGGTACGTGGGGCCCATTACGTAAAATAAAAGGGGGTTTTAAAGCAGCGGGAAAACAATGGGATCATGACAGAAATGTTAAAAGCAGGGGGGATTGTGTTGGGGTGGGTTGGTAAAATTTGTTTAAAAAATGTATGAAAGAGGGGAAGGTACCTAGGATTGGCAAGGGGGCATTTATGTCCCTTTATATAAAGGGGAAAGGGGAAAAAAAGGGGCTAAAAATTATAGAGGGAAAAAGCTTTTAGTATTCCAGGAAAAAATGTACGGTAGGGGGTTTTAATTGAAAAGAAATTTGAGGGAAGCCCGAATGTAGGTTGCGGGTGAGCAAGGAGGTTTTTTGA